CAGAATGGTCTAATGAATACATGTAGTGAAAAAGAATGCTTAAATATGAATAGAATATGATTTATGGGTAAAAATGTGATTTTTATGACTTTATTTGCATAAATTACCATAAATATGCAAATGAGTAAAATTTTCAAAAAATTGAAATTATCATATTATTCTATACACTTCACTTGACATGCGTGCAAATTTTCGCGGCGATCGGCCGCTTTGCGGCCGAAATCTTAAGGGGGCCCATAATGGCCCCCCCATATGGAAACGTTGTATCATCCGCTCAATCTGACTTGCGTGCATAGAACAAATAAGCATTTTTCCATGAAAAAGTGAAGTTTTCTGAAATGTGCGTTTCTTTCCAGCATTGGGGCGCCCGGAAGTCACTCGGGTAACATTTCATAAAGTATAATATAAAAAGACTATATGCACATTTTCTGTACTTTTGTCGGAAAAAATACATTTATCCAGCACAATGTCGTCTCTTTTTGCGTTGGAGAAGAGCAAATAGCGAGTTTCAATCACACTTTGGCCGCTCTCGCAAGCTCTCACTCGTTTCACTGTGGTCAAGAGACTTTGGGGCAAGCGGTTAATGAAAATACTAATCTTTAGCTTTCTTCTGGTATCAAACTTATTTTGATTGATTGTATAATTTTGTCGGAATAAAGGAAACAAAAATGCTCGACCAACAACTCATCAGCGTCTGAAGTGACCTTTTGACCTTGAATTCCCTGATGCAAGCGCACTAATGACGTGATCTTTGCTAAATCGGTGTCTTTTATCGTAAAATGCGACACTTTCACAATGTTTATACATCTTTTTTTAATTATTAGTAAGATATAACATATTTTTTCTGTTATCACTGAAGTTTTGGGTTTCATTTAATGAGTAATTTTAAAATAAGAGCCATTTTATTGTTTTAATTTACTGGATCGTACCATTAAAGTTGCAGGGTAGAAAGATGCATTTTCCAACCGCGCCAAATTTAATTTACGTTCCGACATTATGTTAAGTGGGTTTGTGTTGTTAAGAATACACTGCTTTCTGCTCCAACAAACGTCCACATGCGGAGTTGTTTATCATCTAAATTATTCAAATTTATGGATGCTTCCTAGCTTCCCAGGTGTTTGTGTTGCTGTTGAAGCATTTCATTCACCTGCTATAATTCTTTGTACTCCAATTGCCAGAACGCAAATTTCATTTTGGTTTTATAGTTTCATCGGAGTCGTTTATCATATATATGTATTCAAATTTATGAATGCTTCCTCCCCAGGTGTTTGTGGTGTTTATGCATTTCATTCACCTGTTATTATTCTTTGTACTCCAATTGTTAGAATACAAAATGCATTTTGGTTATATAGTTTCATGCAACAAGTAAGTCAATAAAAGAGTATGTTCTGCACAATAAAAACAATGTGTGTCCCTATTGTACAATGTAATGTGTCCCCTCATTTTGTAATAGTTAATTTACCCATTCACATAATGGAACTACCTGCCCGATGAAGCCATTGGCCTGTGACCCCTGAGCACTCAACACTGTGTGGGAGTCAGTTCGTGCTCATATTCTTTTATGAGACAAATACAAGCAAACGTTTCCATATGGGCCCTATACTAAGACCTCAAATAGCCCGGCCTTATTAGGGTTAATGCTGTTATGAATTTATGTTCATGATTTTGATTAAACTATTGTTCCTCATTATATTTAACAAAGCTTCATGGAAGACCAACATTATTGGTGATAATGAGTCACCCTGTCTAAATATCAGAAATGAATAAATAAATAAGAGTTACACCACCAGAAAACTAGATAGTGAAGATAATTGTCGATGTTGAGGACAGCAAGGGCATGTTTTGTACTTTAATTGGTCTGCAATCGTATTTGAAAAGTGATTCTTGCATTTTTCAGAAGTGTAACTTTTAAAAAGAGCGAAGCGTAGGTCGGGTGATATTTCCAAGACAAAAACCTTAGTTTTCAAAAAAGAATTGTCAGTACTATTACACGATGTTTTCATTGCTTTCTGAATGATACATGGGTTTATAGCAAACACCGCTATTCAGTCGACTGATTCCGATTTCTGTCGGAAATACCAAAGCCTTTCACAGGAAGTAGTTAACTACGAATAAAAACGAAAGTGATAGTTGGTAAATGTTCGTGTCACCATGTTATGATTAGCTCTCAAGCATAGGTCCTTGAACTAGTTCACTAGGTTAAAGGAAACACTCATCCCTATTTCTTTATTCAATGGCATGGAATAAATGTTCCTAACGAGTTTAGCAAGGTTGCTAAAAAGAGTTTAAAAAATACGTATATAGGAGATGCATAAGTAGAGGTTCATTTAAGATGTAATGGTCAACCTGCACACCCCAAAGGCCCAATCAGGTCGAGTATACGGCATCTGCAGGAATCTTCAGTATTGAAGGAGGCAGATTATCTTGAAGAAGAAGGAGAAAGAAACATGTATATTGCCTGGAAATGGTGAAGAAGAAGACACCACACAAAAAACATTCAATGGTTATATCCCCTGAAAATAGCAAGTGCGCGTTGAGCAGCCCTGGGCTGTGGGTTGAAGCTGCGGGGTCGGGAGGGTGGAAGAGACGGTAAACCATTTAAGATTTGCTTTATCAGAACAACTACCACTGGGCTATTCTCCAGCTCCGGCCTTGATTACGGGCTCCTTCCTATTGGTCAACCTAAACAGAAAGTTAGAGGCCGGAATCCTCCTTTTTTGTGTAAACTAGATAGCCTTTTGGGAGTTAGGGTCTGACTACAGTTTCTCCCCCACCCAACAAATGAACTCACGATAAACAAGAGTACATGTAAACTACATGTAAAAAAAAAAAAAAAAAGGAATAAATATATATAAAGTATATGTAATAACTAGTCTCAATAACAAGCTCTTGTATAATGTTTGCAAGTGGTAAAATGTAGGGTTATGTACGAAAAGAGTCACGTAGCGTACTCGTCAAAGCGTGAATACTCATACTCATCAGCCTTTATAAAAAAAACTAAATGTCAACCCTATAGCTTTATTTCAATCAATATCAGGTGCATCTGGTCGGGTGTGGGGAGGAAGGTCTGCGGATCATAGTTATTTGGTTAACTTTTTCCATACCCGGGCAGCTCGACCGGATGCACCTGCTGTTGCAATATTTATATATACTTTCTATTGATTTTATCTCAATTCATGTTTGTTATATTGTTGTATGTATGTGACTTGATTTGCCAAATAAAATAATAATAATAACAATACTTCGTAGATAAGAACCTGATAACGTGATTACGTGAGTAATCATAACAAGCCGTATTTTCCTCTCCCCCCCCCCCCTTTTTTCTATCACTGCTCAAGATGTTCAAGTTTGATCCCACCTCAACATTCATTGAATTATCAAACCTTTGACCTGTGCCATGGTGTTTACTAAAGGATGCAATGAAGCTTGCAATTCTATAGCAATGATAATAAGGAAAGTTTTCTGACCAAATATGTTTTTTAATACTTCCTCGTTCGATACATTTCTATATAGTACATTACATTCACAACAAATGGCATCGAAAGGGTAAAGTACTCGCAACAATAATGCTAACGGGAAGTTTTCTGACAATTACAAAAAAAATACTTCCTACTTCCATCGATATATTTCTGTACACTGGATGGATAGAAATGGTTTATTAAAAAAAGATCATCGCAGCAAAAGGCTAAATTGCGATCCATTTCACAAAGATATAATACAATTGGAATTCAAATCACACAAAATATGTCATAAATCAATAATCAAACATAAAACATTTCATAAAAATTCATTGATCAAATTCAATTTTTTGTTGAAAAAAAGAAAGAGAAAGGGAGAGGTGTAGAGAGGGAGAGTTAGAGTGATGAGAAAGAAAGAAAAAGAAATAAGAAGGGAGAGACAGAGTGAGATGAAGGGGGAAAGAGACAGACAAAGGGGGTCCTTATTATTATACAGTTGAGGGGAGATGACAAGAAACATTCAGAAATGCAGAAAATCGAGATAAAAACTATCAAAAGTCATTCACATAGTGCAATCATGAACTGTGAAATTATTTAAAAAAATTATATTAGCATTACATTACAAAGAAAGTTCATAAAGTACATTACATTCACCACAAACGGCAATGAAGAGGTAAAGTACTCAAAACGTGAACGTGATAACGTGAGTAATTACAAGATGTATTCTCCCTTTGTAAATTCGTTATTACTGCTCGAGTTGTTTAAGTTTGAACCCACCTCAATATCTATTTAAAAACCGAACCTTATTACTGCTCGAGTTGTTCAAGTTTGAACCCACCTCAATATCTATTTAAAAATCGAACCTTTGAACTTTTCCATTGTGTTTACTAAGGGTGCAACGAAGCTTGCAATTCTATTGCAATAATTTCCGACAAAAATTGTTTGGACACATTACTTCCTTGTTCGATATAATCCTATACACTATAGAGTATATTACATTCACAACAGACGGCATCGGAGACTTATTAGGTAAGGAACATGTTTATGGGGTTTTATTCATTTATCTATTCTTGATTTGATGTTTTATTGTAGATTAAAGTTATAATTGGTAGGGTTTATTGAGAATATTTTGGAAGAATAACAGTACACACACAAAAGCGATTTCTTTTGAAAAATCAACTCAAGGGAATTTTCAATACCCCATTGTACATCTATATCCTATAGAAATCTTGTTCGGAATTTGCAATGCGTCATTGTAAAGTTCGCACGTTCCAAAGAATGATGGCGGATGAGGCTATATATTGAAATTACCTTAAAATTATTTTCAAAAGTTTTACGATTATGTTCGTTTTTCAATCTCCATCCTTACACAACTTATCATTAAACATCATATCACTTACAAACATCGTAGTTAACTCTTTGACATACACTAAAATATCAACTCAATTAAACTCTTAAAAACGCGCTCTAAGTTAATGTAAATTTGAAATGGAACTCATCATCTGGGTAATTTTCCTTTAAACATCTCTTAGGATTATCTTCTCGAACTACCAAGGATCGAATAAAGGAGACGATCATGCCACCAGCAGATGTTTTGAAGCTGGGCGCCATGCTCTTCTGCTTGCTTCTTATCATTCCGCCGATCTACTCAGCTCCTCTCTCCTCCTACCTGGTATCGTCCTTTACCAGTCCTGACCCCACCCTGCCATTCAACCACATCACCATCAACAACATCACTGGAGATGTCTATATAGGAGCACGGCAGAGACTCTATCAACTCAGCTCAGACCTGACTCTCAAACACACTGTGGATACTGGACAATGCCCTTCTCCAAATGAAGATAATATCAATAATAATAAACTGCTTGTTGTAGCCCCATCACCTGAGGACAAGCTCATCACATGTGGTGGCTGTGATGGTTACTGTGAGACAAGGAGCCTGACTCATATATCACATGATGTAGTGAGGTATGAATCAGGTTATGCTCGAATTGTGACAACATCAGATGCACCCACTGTTGGAGCTGTTGTTTTAGGTGCTGATTTTGTAGGGAATGGCGAGGGTACTGTAGATGGTGGATTGTACTTATTTACAGGGAACAGTGATTCATCTGTGAGCTTTCGATCTGTCTCAAAGCACAGTCTTGTAGATCTGACACCTGTACAACATGTAATAGCACCGGAATCTTCTACCACACAGAACCTTTGTAAACATTTGATCACTTACATGGAATATCTCTACTATTTCATCTTAAGGGGAGATTCTGTATACTTGGGGCGACTGTGTCGTAATTCATTAGACATACAATTTGCATCCTACACAGAGATAGAACTACAGTGTGGATCTCACAATGTGATCCAGTCTGCTCATGTCGGACCAGCAGGATCCCAGCTAGCTGACTCATTGAATATTGAGAGTACTGATGACCTTCTGTATGCTGTATTCACAAGTGCGAGTTCATCCGCTCTTTGTATTTATACGATGAGTGATGTCCTGCAGAGCTTTGAGGATGCTGTCTTGGGATGTATCCAGGGAGACGAAAACGAATTAGGAACAACAAACATCTACCTTCGAGAGAGCTTGTGTAACTCAGTAAGTCAATTGAAGTTCAAAGTATAAAGATTATTATTAGAGTTTGCTGTAGTTTTCCTGTGCATACTTAATTTAACTTATATTGAGTTGAGTTGATTTGATTTGATTTGATTTGATTTTATATAACATAATGTGATTTGATAGATTGGATCGATTTAACCTGACTTGTCTTACAATATCTAAACATGGTAACCCCGGCCTATTCTTTCTTGGAGCACCTGCATGAAATCAACGTCAATTAAAGGTTACATTCACGAAGCAAATCTTGTATCCATACATTAAAGGGACTTGGTAACCTTGTTCAGATGAAAGGAAATGGTGCTAAGGTAGTGAATTCAATGCTAGATGTACAATTAAAGATAATCTGAAAGTTTGGGCGAAAACAGACCATTATTATTATAAATGATAACAAATGGAAAACATGATCTGATCGATTCCTTAATATTCCCAACTATATAATTACAATTTAATTACATTTTAGGTGAATGTAAATCGTCACATATCAATGAATTGGCTCTATATACTATTCCAGACAGATTGACAGATTTTTAAAAGCCTGTCTAAATGCCTTATATTCATGGAAAAACGGTTGGAAAAATTTAAAAATGGTTGGGAGAATTTACTGTTAGAGGGTGTTGCACAGTGACACCTTCAAAGAAAAACCTAAATATTTTTGTGGTTTGAGATTTTTTTCCCCGGATATTTTGCATGTTAGCGGGTTAGTACAGTAAAAGGATATAATAAGTAACATTTCGTACAAAAAATACGCACTTTCTTTAAAATACTGATGTTTATGTCCTTGTGTAGATAGAAGATGAAATAGGATATTGATTTCTTGTTTTTTAACAATAGAATATTGACCGAATGTTATATATTTAGAAAGTTTTGTAGTATTATGCTGAGATGCACTGAATTTGCACATCAAGTTAAAAACCGGAGTGTTGGCCTGAGTCAGTAGAGCGTCCGCCTCACAACCGGGAGGTCGTGGGTTCGATCCCCGGCCGCGTCATACCAAAAGACGTTAAAAGATGGGAGTTGCTGCTACCTTGTTTGGCGTTCAACAATAAGGGATATAGCAACGTCGATCTGGCGCTGCTCAGTGGCTACCGGGCTCACGATCAATAATATTGGGCAAAAAAACTTTTCATTTCGGTTTAATAAAATTTGGAGTGGACTAAAAGATTATTATTTTTATTATTATTATTATTGTTATTATTATTAAACCCATTCTGAAATGGGAAAGGGAAATCATTAAGCTTACATTTTTGAGAGTTTGGGATTACCATGATTTGAAAGTCACACAACATTATACCTAGGATTTAGGTGTACAAGTAAGATTTAATCTGTTTTAATGCATATGCAAATAATCGTATCCGGACACCTACCCCCTGGACATCCACCCCCGGATAAGTACCCCTAGTCAACTACCCCCTATGACAACAACCCCCTAGTATAGTTGTCCTAGAACATGGTTGTCATAGGGGTAGCTGTCTGGGGTGGTTGTGCGGGGGTAGTTTTCCGGGTGGTAGTTGTCCGGGGGTAGTTATCCGGGGGTGGATGTCCAGGGGGTAGGTGTCCTAGAACCGCAAATAATATCCCTTTCAATTTCTGATTCAAATCAGAAAAAAATTCTCTTTATTGTAAGTTGAATGAGAAAATGTAAAACCTTTTTTGGCTAGTATTTGGAGCAGTATCCTGCAGCGTTCCCTCTGCCAGGCTCTGATTAGTGCACAACTAACCTGATTAGGCAATTTATTTTGTAAACAAATGTTTCTCACTGATGAAATTGACACAGACATTTTTACAATAACCCAGGCCCTCACAATACGAGTTTGGACAGTCATCGCTCGCTCATATTGACTGGTTACATACAACCAATCACAACATCTGTACGAATGCTCTCTTGCAAAACACAACATTACACAGATGAGTAAATTGATTAAATTTTCTCTCTTTGTCTCGTCCATCATCAACTCTTCTGTCATGATCCCCACCTCAATAGAGAGGGCACCATGTTAGGAATATCATTGGAGATGATTTATTAAAGTTTACGTGCTCCGTTTTTTTGCTGACAGTTGGCTTTCACCTCACTAGATTCAGTCCGGTGTACAGTTTATGATGAAGATGATGGCTTGATATGAATCTCTACCAGTATGCTAGTGGAATGCTTCCCCTCTCTGCCTTATCAACCACCACCACTTGTATTGATATGATATTTCCACCTAACCTACCATAGGAAGACAGCAGGTCGTTATTTCAAGCTTTCATTCTAGATTGTATAGTCCAGTTTACAGCCTATTACGAAAAAGAGCAATGCTTCTCTATATTGGGATACCAGTGGAATGGTTCCCCTTTCCCCTAAACTGACACATAAAAATTACCTGTATTTTTCTCCCTCCATTGTGACACTTTCATTGTCATTATCTCTTATTATGTTCTTTTGGCAGTTTCCTGTCACATACACTCCACCAGATACAGCACAGTGTACAGCTTATTTTAGCGATGGGGGTGATCCTCCTGTGACTCAATACCGGTATGCTAGTGGTACATATCCCCTCTCTGCCTCACCCATCATCACCATTCTTGATGTGACATGCACCTCCATTGTGACAACCATAGAGAGAAATCACACTGTGGCATTCATGGGAGATACACAAGGATACCTACATAAGGTTAGTGTACATATGCATACAGGTGAAGGATAACCACAGTCTTAAGGTATTAACTGGACAGATAACAACATTCTAACTTTATTTAGACCATGTTTTGACTTTACATAGGATTGGGAATATGAAAAGTATCTGAATACATGCAATATTTTCACTCCCCATTTACTGAGCATCAATGTCCTTGCCATATAATGCATTTCATCACATCTCAATTTTTTGCGCGTCAGTGATATATATATATATATATATATACACATACCCGCATCCCAGCTTTGCATTATTACTTTTAGCAGTGGGTTATCACTTTTTGATGGGAACTGTTTTGCACAGTAGGCTGGGTAAGAAGGAATGATACATGGTCACATGGTGTCATTTGACCAATAAGATTACCTACGATCTAGTACCTCAGATATTAGGGAATTTTAGATTTACACGACGAGAATGTGTACCGCCACGTGTGACATCCTTTTAAGGTAATGTGACGTCCTTTTAAGGCAATGCCGGGCACGACCCAGTGCCTTAACACAATGTCACACGCGGCAGTCCACGCTCTCGTCATGTAAATCTAAAAGTTCCTATTAAAGTCTCTCATATTCTTGGTAGTCTTGTCCAGCTCTAATTGGGGACTACAGGAGGGACTTGAAATGGGTCAAAATACCATCCAACATCATGAAGATGGATGCATATGTAGGCACTCTTATTTCAAGACACACCTGTGGTCCCCATCGTAGTAATAGCTGGACAAGACTACCCAGAAGAGACCTAGAAGATTGTTTTTCAATAGATATTAAATTGATTGATAGACTACATGTACATTGTGTTTTAGTTGTAAAAATGTACAAATTCATTTACCCTTTTTTAACCTTTTTTTATCCAGCAGAATACAGAATTTTGTTAAAGAAAATAATTATTGTATGATTATTTTCTTGATGTATGAACATGCCCACTTGTAGAATATTATTTAATTGATATATTTTATCATTCTAATTTGCTTGTTTTGCCAGGTTAATATTGTGAATAGCTCATTTGGCTACGTCTATGAGACTGTCCCTCTTGGAAGTGGATCTGTTTTACAAGACACGTTCCTTGATGAATCTACAGAGCAGATAACATTGGCCACAAGTTCAGACCAAGGCTCACAGGTAGGTTATACAAGTATCAATGTGTGAGTATGCTAGTGATGCCAATGTTCTTGATGAATTAGTGGGGACGCGGCTTAGGGTTCTTTTATTCATTTTCTACACATATATTGCTTAAATTAAAAATCTAAAATTTTGGGGGTGTCAGTTTTTTTTTGTTAGGGGTGGGGGTGGGGGGGGGGGGGGCTTGAGCCCCAAGCCCCCTCTAATACAGCCACTGGCCAATGCATGTACTAATGTCGTTCGTGTTACTGGTTCCAAACAACAGAGCTCTTGCATTAAGTTCATCGCAACATCATTCAAGCTAAGGGCTAGAGCAGAGCAAATTCAATGTTTTTGCGCTGATGTGATTCCTCCACCATTGTTTAGCACAACATTGTTTGGAACCGGCTACCTTGGCAACTTGGCTAATATGACGTCACACTTTGATACTCTATTGGTATATGCAAATTTGGTTATTACACACATAGAACCATAATATTATTTTATTTATTTATTTCTATTCTTTTGACAGGGTAGCCCATTCACCAACAAGTAGTGGTCTTCCATGGAGCCCTGAATGAACATATTTACATCGTTTATAACATTTATACAGAACAGTTACAAAAATAATACTCGTTTGCAAAATAAACATATATCATTAACCTAGTAAACAGTAATGTCAATAGGAAAATATTAATTAAGTCGCAGTTATGTGATTAAGTCATGTTAATATTACAGAACATGCACGTAGTGTATGTTCGGCTGAGCCATTCACAAATTACAACTTTGTTTAAACAATCTCTTAAATGAATTGACAGAGGAAGCCGTTCTCAACGAATTATCTAGCTTATTCCATTCGAATATGAAAGAAACAATTGGGCTACACTTATAACAATCAGTGTGAAATCTAGGCACACGTAAACATCCACTGTCTATTTGCCTTGTATGATGCTCATGCACATCATTAGGATTGATTAAGCCTACCTGAAGGTAAGAAGGTGCTAAGTTATGAACGCATTTATATATCATCATAACGCGACTTAACTCAAACCGCTTGTCTAGTGTCATCCATTTCAGACTTGTGAACAAATCAGCCGACGGTGTGTCATACGTCTTGTTCAATATTATTCTTGCGGCCCTCTTTTGAATTTTTTGCAGCTTAGTTGTATGAGATTGAAATCTGTTCGACCATACAACAGAGCAGTAATCTAATCGTGGCAACACTAGACTGTTATAAAGTAACTTTAAGGATTTTTGAGGCAAAAAACTCTTTGCTCTCTTTATCATGCTAATGTTTTTCTGGGTAAGTTTACTTACGTTTTCGATTCGTTTAGACCATTTCAATTCTTTATCTATCAAAAGTCCTAAGCATTTGGTGAATTGATTCTTTTGATCAAATTGCCGTTTAATGAAATGGTGAAAGATTCAATTTTCTTGAGATTAGCAGGAGAGCCTATTAACATGACACAAGTTTTTTCAGTGTTAAGAACAAGACGATTTTCCTTAATCCATACCATGACTCTGTTTAATGCAACAGTTAATTTTTCTTCCACAACAGTTGCATCATTTGCACTGACGGTAAGTGTCGTATCGTCAGCATACATATCTATGATACCGTCAGGAGTACATTCAGGTAGACTATTAACATATATTGAAAATAAAAGGGGACCAAGAATTGAACCTTGTGGCACACCTAATTTGATGGTTGATGGATGCGACTTGGCTCCTTTGAATTGGGTCACTTGTTGTCGATCCCCTAAATATGATTTGAACCAATAAATAGTCCTATTACTACAACCTATACAAGCTAGTTTATGTAGAAGTAGCTCATGGTCAACAGTATCAAAAGCCTTACGAAGATCTATGAAGGCAACTCCAGAAATTTCTTTGTTATCAATATTCAACGACCATTGATTTACAAGTTTTGCAAGGGCAGTAGCTGTTGAATGTTTAGGTCTAAAACCAGACTGATTAGGGTGTAATAATTGATTCTCGTCCAAGAATTCACTGAGTTGTTGGTGGACGGCCCTTTCTATAATTTTACTCACGATAGGTAATATTGAAATGGGGCGGTAATTATTCAAAGAAGAAATATCTCCAGATTTGAATATCGGTACTACCCGAGCCTTTTTCCATTCACGTGGAACAACTCCTGTAGACAGGGATTTGTTAATGATATCACAAAGAGACTCTGCGATAACATTCTTCGTCATCTTTAAAAGTTTACAGCTGATGTGATCTTCACCAGTTGCTTTATCTATACTCAAATTATCAATCTGTTTCAATACAAAATCCTCAGTAATCAAATTCAAATTAAATTGCGAATGAGTTGGACCAATATTATTGTCCTCGTCTACTCTCAGTTGAGACGTATTCCTTCGCAGGTCCTTTGTAATCTTAGTAGCATTAGAAATGAAAAAGTCATTGAAAGCTTCAGCAATATTTGCATTGTCTGACACATTAGCACCATCAACATTTATGCTATTGGGAGATATAGGTAATGACTTAGGCACAAGGTTTCTCAAACATCTCAACATTTGCTTACTATTGTTATGATTTTGCGAGATCTGGTCTGCATTATATTCTCTTTTTCTTTTCCTCATGAGAAGAATAACTGTATTCTTTAGATATTTGTAGGTGTCCCAAAGATCATCACTTTTGTTAGCTTTAGCAGCTTTGAGAACTTTATCACGTTCCGTCATAAGCTTAACAATCTCGTCAGATATCCATGGACATGCCTTTTTTCTTATCCGCTTTTTACATACTGGTATGTGCTTGTTGATTATATTATTGAATAGAGTCAACCACATATCCCACGCAACATCAACATTATCTATATCTTTTATGACCTGCCAAGGAGTACTTCTCAATTCACTGTAAAATTTCTCCTCGTCAAGATTTTTAAACGAGCGAAATTCTGCGTATTCTGATTTTTTATGGATCTTTGTACTAAAATCGCGAACCGTATACACCAAATAATGATCACTTATGCTAGTTTCAAATATTCCCATTCATTGTAAAGTTCCTTGTCTGATACAAATATCAAATCAATTAAAGTAGAAGAGGTATTTGTAACTCTTGTGGCAGTATCAATTAGCTGACTTAGTCCGTACATATTTGTATAAAACATTAACTTTTCAGCATTCAGATCAAGTTGGTGTGGCATACAATGAAAATTGAAATCACCTAAAATAATACAGCTCATATCTTCCGAGAGAGCAGAGTCCAAATTTCCGTCTAATTCTTCAAAAAAAATCAACGTGAGAATTTGGAGGTCTGTAAAACTCTCCAACCAGGATGGGAGACTTATTTGGATAATGCAATTCAAACCAAAGGCATTCTAAAGTAGATGAAATCAAATCATCCCTTCTTTTATAATTGAACCTCTTGGATATATATACAGCCACACCACCACCATGTCTCGTACGGTCTCTACGTAATAAAATATATTCATCTATATACAATTCAGAATCATCAATCATGGAGTCGCAAATTGTTTCATTTACACCAATAACATCAAATGATGCATTTCTCAGAAGTAATCTAAGTTCGTCAATCTTAGCAACTAAGCTATGAATATTCAAATGAGCAAATTTTAAGCCCCTGTTTCTAAACGGAGGAACTGAACCACATTCTAACTGTTTAATATTACTCTTACTCAGTTTATGAGATTGTTCCTGAAGATTATGATGTAGTATGCCAGTACCTGAGACAGAGTTTAACTGCACGTTGCCATGACGAGACGTAGATGCTCGTGCCACCCCTGTTGAGCTTTTGTCAGTGGAAGCATTGGAAGAGCAGGTGCAGATTTTAGCCTCCCTCTCGGTGCAATCATCTCGAAATCCTGCGTTGAAGATCCAACAACTTCAGCGTAGGACGTTTGATGAGTAGGTGTAGGTGGCCCTTGAGGTCGCTCAATAAAGTGGCGTAGATTGGAGGCAAGAACAGCTTGTCCTGCCTTATTGATGTGGACCCCATCTCTGCCAAGGTGCCTGTCACCTATGTTAGCGTTGTCGATGAAACCCCATCTCCTTTCACGGGCAGCTCTTTTCAGTCGCCCATTTACCCCATCTACACTGCGCCTCTGATTAACCGATTCCCATCTGCGGTGTATAACACTAGACAAGCATACATTACAGCCTTTTTGCTGCAATCACTTCTGCTAATGCTATGATGTCATCGGCGGTGGATGTACTACCAATACCTTTCGACAAGTCATTTGACCCGACATGCAGAACGACGGCTCCTTTCGCCTTTACACCCTCAGTAGCCTTCTTAGAGGAGATATCAGCCACCGTTGCCTCTGGGTTCGGATGGCAGACTACTCGATGTTTTCGGCTCAGGAGTCGGCCCTCGATGTGCTTGATCATCGAGTCGCCTTCGATGACAACATCAAGTAGCTCAGACAAGCGGCGTTGGCGATGCCCTTGTCGGAACTCATTGGTTTGGTCGCTCGTCGACATCGAAGTCGAAGGCTTTGCGTCAGTGCCTTCGAAAACAGCAGCAGGTACCTTCAACAAGCGGCGCTGGCGATGCCCATCTCGGTACTCTTTCATCTGGTCGCTCGTCGACATCGGAGTAGGAGGCTCGACGTCTGTGCCTTCGAGGACAGATTCATGTAGCTCAGACAAGCGGCGCTGGCGATGCCCATCTCGGTACTCTTTCATCTGGTTGCTCGTCGACATCGGAGTAGGAGGCTCGACGTCTGTGCCTTCGAGGACAGATTCATGTAGCTCAGACAAGTGGCGCTGGCGATGCCCATCTCGGTACTCTTTCATCTGGTCACTAGTCGACATCGAAGTAGCAGGCTCAGCGTCAGTGACATGTTTATCCGCAAGGACATCGAACCTATTCTTCGTCGGGACGGTATAAACATTTCCTGGTCGCTTTTCATACCTCGCGGGATTAACTCTTGAGATAGTTCCCACTATCTCATTGAGATCTATTTTCTCCTTTACCAGATCAGCACTATCGAACTTAGCTTCAAGATGGATAAGCCTTTCGGCTAGTTCATTAACTGACGACAAAATTAGATTGAATAGGTCATAGAGATCAGCTTGCTTATTATTCGTCTCCTGATTTCTTTTGTCATTACTCGCTTGATGGATATTGTCATTGATTGCACTTTGCAGCCTATTTACCAAAGTTTCTTTTACACCATTTTTATTTAGACCACGTTTCTTCAGTTCAGCTTTGAGTTCCTTCACACGGAGACTTCTTACGTTAACGATGGTCATTGTGACGTCATTTAATATAATTGTTCACCTGTTTGCTGAAAAGTACTGCGTTAACATCACTGCGTAATAAATACTGAGATAACCCACTAGCGCACACTTGCGTTGTATCTTTGTCATTGTCATTGTCATTGTCATTGTCATTGTCATCCAAGATGAATTGTGCGTAAAGTGTTTATATTGCGCTTAATGTTCAAAAACCAAGAAAATAAATATTTAAAAAATGACCAAAATAACAGAATAAAATGGCCAGAATCTTTAAAAGTCTAAAAATTTGTGAAAAATGAATTACACAAATCTCACCACCAAGGGTGTCGATTTGTATCCGTGGTTGGGGGGGATGATAGGTGCTAACATATTTTCGGCAATGGATCTAAGCAACCGAGAAGTGGAAGCGTGTGGCAAGTTGCACCCCTCCCAAGCGCGTAGCCAGGATTTCATTTTAGGGGGGCGGTATAGTGAGCACGCGAAACGTGCGAAGCGCGGAAGCTTTGACGTTTCACTATTAGAGAGAGAAGACGATTCGTTGGACCGTTTTCGACTCTTAATTCTTGTGTGAATCAAGTTCCCCTTCCTCCGCGCGTAGCGCGGAAGCTCTGACGTTTCATTAGATTATTAAAGAAAGAAGACGATTCGATGTACCATTCTCGACTCTCAATCCTTAATGTTTGAATCAAGTTCCCCTTCCCCCGCGCGTAGCGCGGAAGCTCTGACGTTTCATTAGTTTATTAAAGAAAGAAGACGATTCGATGTACCATTCTCGACTCTTAATCCTTGTCTGAATTCATTTTCGCCCATTCCTGCGCGAAGCGCGGAAGCTTTCACATTTTATTACATTATTAGAGAAAGAAGACGATTTGTTGTATCGTGTCCTTCATGAATTCAGTTTCCCCCTACCGCGCGAAGCGCGGAAGCTTTAACGTTTTAATAAATTATTACTCTTAATCCTTGTCTGTGTCATTTTCGCCCATTCCGCGCATAGCGCGGAATTTTTTACGTTTCATTAAATTATTAGTAAAAGAAGAAAATTCGTTGTATCGTGTAGTTTGACGTTTCATTTGATTATTTCTCTTAATCCACGTCTGAATTCAGTTGCTCCCCTAACAGCTTTGCCCTTTTCATTAAATTATTAGAGAAAGAAGACGATTCGTTGTACTGTTCTCTATATTAATCCTTGTCTGAATTCAGTTTCCCCAATGAAAATAAGTTGTGTCACAAATAAGTTGTGACATAATAATCTTTCTCCAAAAATTAAAAATGTTTTAGGAAATATCTGGAAATAAAATGAGTGAAAAAAATAATAATTAAGATGCAATGACGTGAATCTTAAAAAAGGTGAATGGAAACAACATAACAACTAGTGAACTATTTTATAAGTCATACTAATGTCCGAAAATCTTCCTCCTTGTCTCCGATCTCATCACGAAATCGTCACAGAGTTCATCTATGTTTACACTGTCCAGGATTGGCTGATGTGCATTGCAGATTGCTACTTTTGCGCTTCACGCTTAACATTTAGCTCGTTGCTTTTTGACGCTGCGTCTTTGCATTTGGCGCACTGCATTTCTATGATGCTGTTGGTTGAACAAATTGAATAAATTCATCAATTCCTGATGAAGCCGTATAAGCGAGAATTCAATTTATTCTTGTCTCATATACGGTTGTCTTATTTACTTCGTATATATGTATTGTATGTATTATGAAAATGAGATAGCAAAATGTGTATATTGATGGTCATCTTGCGAGTAATAACCATTAACTACTCTCATCGGGCTCTCATCATTAATTTTTCTCTTCATTTTTTTTTCTTTGATGGTGAATTATTGGGGGGGATGATTGTACAGGCCATCCCCCCCCCCCACCTGAAAAATTGGGGGGATATATCCCCCCATCCCCCCCCCCCCCCGGGATCGACACCCATGCTTACCACTGTCCTTACGTCGTCAGTTTGGTATAAAAAGTTTCCTTGAGTCCATTATTTGGCTGCAGAAAAGTGCATTTTTCAGGAGCTCGCACGTCCATCTCTCAATGTTTTTAATTCGATCTTTAATTATTATAATTATATTATTATTTTATTCATAATTATGAATGAAATCTTTATATATAATACATGTACATGTGTTTCTTGCCTGGTACTGAAGTTCCAATTGATCAACCTTGTCACTGAAATTAAATTGCCCTACGTAGAGTCTCTACCCAAATAAAGAATTGAAGCGTGAAATTGTCAGTGTAGTATTACAATGCCACTCTGTGATTCAGATGATGATTAATTTGTATACAAAATTTTAACTGACTTAGAGTCTTTTTAATATACAATGTGATTTAATTTTTGAATGCCCTGATTTATCTTTTGAGTGGAAACAACCAATCAAAAAGGTGAAATGTAAAGTACATGTATTCTCTCTGTTCGTAAATTTTCGGACTTTTCTACCTTTTTTTCTCCATATTTTATAACTAAAAATTAAATGACTATATGCTATTGTGAAAATAAGGTGCTCAACCATGCTAGGTATATATCTCCTTACATAATGATTAACATTTAAAAGGTAGAAATTATTTTGCTCTGGTTATTTGGAGTGATGTAAATAAATATTTGCAAGTTTGAGTGCGCAAAACGGTGAAGGCACTTGTTGGCAGACAAGTCATAATTGTGCTTGCTCTGAATGATGTGCATATAAGTAAAGTCTTAAGTTCTGTCTGGTCCTTCTTATGATATAAATCTGCCCCCCCTTCCCTCTTCTGCACTATATTTTAATTTGTTTACTGTTTTAATGTCTCATATAGCTTTGGAGGATAACTTTATGTTTTGAAACAATATATTAATCCCAATTTGTGTTGGTCCGTTTAAAGGTCTACTTATTTTACCAAATACAAAACAATTATACATGGTGAGCATAGATATGTGGATCAGCATCATCAACATGACGAAAATAACTTGTTCGATAAATTGATCTTCACGTTATACACACAAAATGTAGGTCCTGACATTGGATTTGACAAACTGTACGCAATACCAGACCTGTGATGAATGCATTGGAGGCAATGGAGGAAATGACGGAGACCCTTACTGTGGATGGTGTACTCTAGACGCAAGGTGGGTGCTTGTGTATAAATGGGGGAAATGATGGACTCTCATTTACTATGGATGGTTTACTCTAAAACAGCTTCTCAACCTTTTTTAATTTGAGACCTACAAATGTACTAAGGATGTAAAACACGACGCACCAAAAATTAGAGAATGAATTCTGTGGTAATTGTGCAATGGCATATCTAGGTAATTTTTGAATTTTGTAATAATTGCCCCCCCCCCCCATCCCCTGTCAAAACTATCAATTGTTAAAGTGAGTGAGTGAAACAAAATAGCGGTAGACACCCATTTCTAATCCACAAACACACATTTTTCTAGTACAGTTAACCCATAATGGGCGTATGGACATATTGTCACGAGGGGGGGGGGGGGGGGGGGCCTGAGGCCACTGACTTAATATTAACCATCCTGTGCATAACTGTAAAACAAGGAAAAGAAACAAATGATTTTAATTTGTCATCAAAATACTCTACATGTGATACAAAAATATATGGAGGCACCTCGCTTCCAACAGGTGATGACGGACTGAATATTGGATTTATTAAATTCCTTGCAATTGAACAGAAGAAGTTTTAATTTTAAACATCAGTAAGCAGTCTTCTAATGGATACAAAATTAATGAAATTTCAGGAGAACTATAGTCGAGAATTTAGTAAGGTAACTAAAAGTTCAATTTTTTTTTAAACGCTGAACCATTGCAAAGATTGTTGAGGATGTAATATTAAACAAGAGGATGATAACAAATATCAAGGAGAAAAGGCAACAAGACTGTCACTGATTAGATATTTTGAACCCTATGTATATTATAAACTGTATCCAATTGGGGATGCAAGAGTACTAGATCCTGAACAACATATGTAAGGGAGAAACGGCAACCTATAACAAGAAATTTGTGAAGTTTACACCCTCAAAAAGTCTAATTTAAAGTCTAGTTTAATAGAAATAAAAATCATCTATTGATGATCTTGTTTCTACACATCAAGACTAATGAATTGGTTCTCTATACTCCCATTCATTCTATAGGTGCACAAGATATGAGGCATGCCCCGAACGTGATGAGTCGACTCGATGGTTATCTTACAATGCTTTACAGTGTGTATCCATCTCAAATGTCCAGCCAAACAGTCTGCCTTATCATCAGACACAACAAGAAGTAATTACAATTGTAATTTCACTTTCTCAGATTTCCTTTTTTCCTTCTTCATATCCTTGCTGGTTTGATCACTTTAAGGATGATTAAATATAAAGGTTGTACTACATGTTAATATCAGCTATACCGTATACCGGTAAGTCATACTTAATTTAAATTATTTGTATGCGCCTTGAGCATCTCTAGAGATAGATATGTTGCGCTTTATAAATATTGTTATTATTTTTATTATTAATCTTGACTAGCTTATTTGGGACTAACCATGCAGAGACTGCTGGAATGATCAGTTATAAAAAATATCAAAAATTACAATTTTTCTCTTTTCATGATAACGTTCAAATTCCATAGCCAGGGAATGAAATACAGGTATTAAAAGTAAAAGCAATAACATGTAGAATGACATGTGAGATTTCCTGTGCATGTGAGTCCTGGTAAGAATTCACACTTTTTTCCGCATTCTTGTTATAGATTACCATCACAGTCCAACAGCTCCCAGATCTTAGGAGCAGTTTTCAATACAATTGTGCCTTTGACTCTCATGAGGTCTCTGCTACAACTATTGGTAATACTGTCACCTGTACATCCCCTCCTGAATACGGCCTACCTTTAATTCCAGATGGAAGTAAGTACATGTAAAGATGAAATGTGTACATGTGCATTGTCTTTGCAAATCCTATTACATCCATCTGAATAAATAGCATGTGCTGACTTTTGATACGTAATTAAAATACTTGTAAAAAATCATTGAAATATGATACATGTTTTGTTATCTAATGTATTTATTTATTTTGTTGTTGATATTTTTGAAAGACAACTCATTAAAACACAAGAGACATGCAGGAATCCACGAAGTAGATTGAGTTGAATGCTGAACAGTCTCCTAGATTTGAGACCTTTCCATCATATAAAGGTGTTGAGAGGTTGATGATATAATGTATACGTAGGACTGATGTAATTACCATGTATTTCTCTCAGTATCTTGCGGCTCTTTAATAATCTGCTTGATTTTCTTTGTTGGCAGTTACCGCTGACCCTCAAAAAATTATTGTCATTAGACAAAAAGCATAAAGTGGTTCTTCATCCTTCACTTATGATGTATGATTTTGTCTGCATTTAAATGATTAGTATGTTTATCATTTCTTTTCATTTGTTTGCTAGTGTACTTTTTGAACTTGCCTCTGTCTGTTGTCTCAACTGAAACGAATGTCGACTTTGTGACCACAGATTTCTTCTTCTTTGACTGCAGTCACATTAAATCGTAAGTTCTTGGATTCCTTAAACTTCAGCAGGCTGTTTTATCTTGTTATTCTCGTTAGTATTAGGGTTGTTTATAATGATCAAATCAGAACTTCAGGCAGTATTGTAGAAAGGGTTCGACTGGCGTCATTGTGAATAGTCATAACAACAGTTTTGGTATTAGTTTTAATACAACAGTCATTCTCAATTTCTTGCAGATGTTCATTTTGTGTTATGACCCTCTTCCCATGTGACTGGTGTGTTTATGACAACAGATGCACAGACGATAGCAGCTCATGTCAGACAGGAGATACAGTTGTTATTGGAGTAAATGTAAGCACTTCATGCCAGGCGCGGATCCAGGATTTCTTAGGGGAGGGGGCCCACCTTTTTTTTTTGATCCCGAAAATTTGAAAATCGCGCCGGCCGAAAAGTCGCTCAGTGGGGGGGGGGGGGGGGGGGGGGGGGGGGGGGTAGTGAGCACATTTGTTTTTTGCATCCTCGAAAATTTTAAAATTTGCACCCCCCCCCCCTTGAGCGCCAGGGGGGGGGGGCCAACCCCCCAAAAAGGTAAAAAATCGCGTGATTTTGCATGATTTTTTTCTCGAGGGGGGGGGGGGGCCCGGGGCCCGGGCCCCCCCCCCCCCCTGGATCCGCCACTGCTTCATGCAGGGATACCAGTTTTCAAACAAAATCTGATTTCAGGCTACGAAAGTGTTTTCATGCCATGGTTTTTATGCCCTGGCATCGGGAGAAGATACTTAGATAGATAGATAGACTAAATGCACAGGTTTAAGTTATGAATTAGACTACTCCTCATTTAAGCATGCAGATCTTGCTTGCTCTATTACTATAAGTATGTACATTTAATTATATTATTAAACAATTTTACAGCACACATTTGCACTAAGCAAAGTGCTCAAGGCTACTGATTTCCGTGCTCACATGTTACCTGTATGTTTGTCTCTATAGAATACTAATGGTTCTGGAAACAAAGGACAGGGGTTTTGCCCTCAGCTGCTTGGAGCAACAGAATCGTTTCTTATACCAGTCAGTATTCCTTCTGGTTTCTCACTATCTGCAAAGAACCTTCCTATAGATCAGTCAAAGGTAATTATATTACAAGAGATTCACTCGTGCATATAGTGAAAACCATGCGATGGAAGTGGACTCACCACCACTGCTACAGGTTAAGTCACGAGCAGATTATGAACAAGACTTGACTTTGGTCTGCCAGTATGAATAGTATATTTGTGGCATTTACACGTACATTTATCTTAAACTTAAGACTAGTACATTTGGGTTAAAGTAATGTACATTACAGTGATTCAATTTTCACCAATGAAAAGACTTTGGTTTTCTTATTATTTCCAACAAGCACAACGTACATTATGACGAACAAGAAAACATAGTACATTCTCGACTGTGACTCGACTTAGTACTCTATGTTTGGCACGTACATAAAACTCCCTTGCATCTACAAGTGCTGATTAGACCGAATTGCTTCACTTATTCTTAAGAAACGTGACATTTCGTATATTTCCAGGACCCAGTAACATATGAGTGCATCCTTGACATTGAAGGAGAGGAAGTGAGAGTACCTAGTACCACTTTTAATAAAACCTACATTCTCTGCAATGATGAACAGGTAAAATCTCAAGTTATGCTCAAATCCAGCATTTATCAGAACTTTATCAGTATCATACGATTTTCCAAATAACATGAGAGTAATGACATATTGTGCAAGTATTCATGGATAGTCATAATTCTACTATAAAGTGTTAACCTGTATATTTAACATCAATGGTGTGGCAAATTAAATATACATACGAAAAAGAATTATGTTGTTATTCAAAGAGTAGTTTTAAGGTCCTTGGTTGTGTGAATCTCTCTTCTTTTTTTTTTAACCTTTCTCGTCTTTTATTTGTAGCAGATTAAAGATTACTGAAATACCAGATATATTGCCTTTTGTTTTGTACTACTATTTCATTACGGGTAAAATTGCAGAAGAGATGATTGATACTATAATATCAGTGAATAAAGACATACTGAAGCTTTTCGTTGTGCACATTGTTCCTTTATTTTCCATGTTTGTTGCCTGATTACGGCTTTCCGTTCCTTCTTGTTGTTTACTCCGATGAGTGGGAGACAAAAAGCTTCAGTATGTATCTATTAACTGCTATTGTTACTGGTAAACTACTTGTTTATCCAAAGTCTGTGATATACATATCTCTTCACTCTTTATTTGCTATAAGGAATGAAACATTGATATTGCCACATTGTTTGAGTATATGATACAGCTACATGTTACTCGTGTCAAAGTAAACTGTGGTGTTCCCCCGTTTGTTCCACTATGTGACCATAGCGAGAACAAACATGTTTACAGATTACTTCCCTTCTTTTTCATAACATTGTGTTTTATTGTTTGTTTCAGTACATGTACAATGAAAATATTCTCGAGAAGAATGTCAGTGTCTCTGTACAGTGGAATGGACAGAACAGCATAGATGACCTGTCAGAAACGTATGGTAAGCCAATTGATGTCTAGCATAAAGATGTTACATGTTGAAATTTTGAATTTGCACTCTAAAATTTCGTAAAAGGAGATTGTGAGTAAACCAGTAGAGGCAAGCTCAGAAGTAAATTTTTCATGAGAACAATATTTTTCCCTTTTTCATTTCTATAATTTGAATTAAAAACCATTATATGTGTCACATACATGTATATCTGTGAATGTAATTTTTGTCCCGGTGATGAATTTATGTCTTAAACTACGGTTTGTGATCTTTCCCTGAGGAGGGATATAATATTATGTCTACTTTGTATCACTGTAATATTTGAAAATATAGTCAGACTTAAGGATTGATAATGAAACATATTCAGTTTGTATGCCTCCGTTACGAAGTAGCCGGAGGCATTATGTTGTTCGGGTTTCGTGTTGTCCGTCTGTCCGTATGTCTGTACGTCCCGTTCTCGTGATCGCGTTATCTCAAGAACCGGTTGAAGGATTCCTGCCAAACCTAGGTCATGTATATATCTTGCAGAGCTAATGAATTGGTTAGATTTTGGGGTCACGAAGTCGAAGGTCAAAGGCCACAGTGCTCATTATGAATGCAAAAATTGCTTGTGATCGCGTTATCTCAGAACCGATTGATGGATTTCTGCCAAACTTGGGTCATGTATGTATCTTGCAGAGCCAATGAAATGATTAGATTTTGGGGTCACGAGGTCAAAGGTCAAATGTCACAGTGATCAATATGTATCCAAAATTAGCTTGTGATTGCATTATTTCAAGAACTGATTTCGATAGATTCCTGTTAGACTTAGGTCATGTATGTATCTTGCAGAGCCAATGAATTGATTATATTTTAGTGTCACGAGGTCAAAGGTCGCAGGGCTGAATATGTATGCACAAATAACTTGTGATCACATCATTAGGACCGATAGACAGATTACCATCAGACGCAGGACATGTATGTATCTTGCTAAGCCAATATACTGATTAGCTTTTGGGGCCTTGAGGTCAAAGGTCACGGGCTCATTTTATATGCAAAAATAGCTTGTGATCGCATTATTATTAGAACCGCTGGACGGATTACCATCAAACTCTAGACTTTAGGGTCATTGGGTCAAAGATAAAAGGGTCATTCATGTATATGACGATTTTCCGAGAACCTGTTAATCGATTACAATTATACTAGAATTTGCAAAATTGCTTCTGTTTTGGTTTGTGAAATCGCTCTATGGCGGAGGCATCATTTTCGACTGCGCGCAGTCGAAGTTCCACCTAGTTAAATGCTTACAGTAAGGGGAAGTATTGGTATATATAGTCTTAAAACATTAGACATGACTGATACATGACTTGTGAATACTCTCGCATGTTTAAAAAGTCTTCTAATATAAATGTCATAAAAATCAGTTTTAAAAAATTAGTTTGAATAAAGAGTGAATTCTGAGCTGTATTTAATGGATTTTTATTTTTGAATTTCAGTCACCCTTTACAAGTGTTCAGTTAACAGTGGAAGTTGCAGTCAATGCCTTTCCCAAGAAGCAACTTCATCCATCTTGAAGTGTGGTTGGTGTGGTGATGACTGCAATGTCATGCAAAGTGCTGTTTGTCAGAACAACCAGTTTCTCCATCAGAATGAGATGCAGAAATGTTCAGCACCAGTGATCACTGATGTAAGAGAAAATTTGTTCATACGGGATATACATCCAAACTATTGAGTCTTTCGGATATGCGATGGTAAACGCATCACATGCAGAGCTTGTAAAGTGAATATTCGTATGACCTCTGTTGCGCGCAGTTGTAATTCATAGACACGTAAAAACGGCATGGCTCACCGCGGCATATATCAACAAGCCTTTTATAATTAGAAAAGTTGTTAATGTTAAAATTATTTCATATACATGTACATAATTATAATTGGTATTCATTATTGGTATTATACATGCACACACACATAAGGAATCTTATATTTGACACATCATGAGTACAAATAAACAAACAAGATTCTTACATTTTGAATTATTTCTTTTAACGGTAGTGATATGCTGTAGTAGTATCATATAAAGACATTTGATGAGATCAATTTATAATTTCTGTTTTTCTTCCTGAAGTTTGACCCCTTGTCAGGTCCTATCAATGGTCGTACAAGATTAGAAATCATCGGAACCGACATAGGAGTGGTATTTGATGATGTACTTCAAATTCTTATTCACGACTTGGAGTGTGATTTAACAGGCATGGGCGAATATTACCAGCCAGGACAGAGGTAATTAATCTCATATTTACCCTTGTTTATTACTTTTACTTCCATTTTATTACAGGTATTTATTACTTATGTTCACAGAGTAGTTTTTAATTTTGTACAATGGTACATACATGTTTATAATGATCTCGTTTTCCAAATAAAATTATGTTAAAGGAGTAATTAATTGTTTATAGAATATGGAATAATTAAAATGCACTTCATCAGTTATACAGCTGCAAGGAATAGTGTTACAAACCTGTTAGAAACAAAGTAATCTGCATATATTTATTTATGTTTTGACGCACTTTTGAAGGTCTTCTTCTGAGGTTGATTTCTTTGAACTTCCCAAAAAACTTATTGAAAAGTGTGATATTTGTTTATTGCATATACTTTGAAAGAATAGTAGGGCATGGGTTACACTTGAATGCATTCGAGTTGTTATTTTATCCACACAGCCTCAACTCGAATGCGGACATATCGTATAATGAACTCATGTGCATGCATTATTTGTTTAATATTAAGCCTTGTGAATGGCAAAATTATATAATGACATTGTGAGGTAAAAAGATATTTTAGGGTCACATGGTCAATGGTAAGTTTACACAGGGTAGTATTTTCCAATAAAATTACACTGTAACTGTGTATTCACATGTCATTTGTTATTACCCTTTTTTTCAAAAACCATTTGGGATATGATATCACCATAGGAAGACAATCTGATTAGGTTTTGGAGTGACTAGGTCAAAGGCCATGGAGGTCAATTTAGTAAATTTTAGATATTTGCCTCGTTATCGCGATATCTCAAGAACCACTAAACAAAATTATGAGGCTCAAACTTGAGGATAGTATGTATCAACATAGGAAGATAATCTGATTAGATTTTTGGTTCAAATGTCAAACGTCACAAAGGTCAATTTCTGAAATAACAGGTTTTAGCTTTGCTATTGTGATATATAAAGAAATAAAAAAGATAGGCTTTTTGTTTTCATTATGATCGTACAAATAATTCCATGCATTTAAACTGAAATTAGGGCGGAGGCATGTAAGAAACGCAGTCGCATTTGTCTTGTTTGTTTTTGTTTTGCAGTGTAAGTTGTGTGGCAGCAACGTCTACTGAAGTAATATCAGGAGGCATTGAAATCACGGTGGCGTCAGGGGGACGATATAAAACAGGACAGAGCACTAAAGAATTTCAGTATAGGGTGAGTAAGATAGAAACTTGTCTAGTTTTCATCCCTCTACAACTGTGGTGGAAGAGGCATTATTTCATTTATTCTTAATGTGGTTTATGTACAAACAGAATTGAATTGAATAAACAAGTTTACATGACTATTAAACAAAACAACAACATCTGAAATAAAGTCATGATGCTATACAACTAAAAGTCTGAATGTAGACTTTGATATTGATTATTGTACATGTAGCCAAAGTATTGGGATATGATTGTTGAGTGAAACAATTATGGAAATATAGCATACGAACGATGAAGATGTTTACATAGTCTGATTTTTCAGCAATACTTCTTATAATTGCACCGATATGCTTTTAGTACCCTGTCGCTCATATAGTTGGAATTTTTTTTTTACCCCAATTTATGGAGTTATTTTGACAATGATTTATTCCCAATAGATCTAGATAATAGTATACATTCTTAGATTTTATTGAATAATAACTTGCCAGTGTTTGTTTTGCGTGACTGCTAAAGCATGTGTTGAATTGAATTGAATTTGAATATATTAACAACACATCACAATAATGACAGTACATATGAACAATTATACAATGCAAAAAATAATACTGATACGTGTATACATAACATTAGAGTAATGTCGATTGAACATGTATGGTTTTATGCTACTATACCTATCAACTAGGGGACCTACGTCCTTAAGTCATAAATGACAGTAATGAGGATTAATGCCCCACAAAAGGGCACTAATTATAGCACATCGACACGGTTTTGATCCTGGGGCCTCACAGTTAAGAGGCCATTGCTTTACCACCGAACCATGACTGTACGCAGCGGGGGCTAGGGTAGGGGTAGTTCCCCCAAAACAAAGAAAATGCAATAAATTATCAATAATCCAAGAATTTTTCCCCGGTCCCCAACAGAAAACAATATTATGTGTGCCCATGCCTTGAGCCATAATGCATGGCCGCACATAGGATTTTGTTATGTTGGGGACCGGGGCAAAATGTAATGAATTATTGCTAGTTTATTGCATTTTCTTTGTGTTTTTTTTTTTATTTGTTGGAAACGCCCCCTACCCTACCCCCGCTGCGTACAGGCATGGTTCAGTGGCAAAGCAATTGCCTCGTAACTGTGAGGGCCCAGGATCAAAACCGTGTCGATGTGCTATATTAGTGCCTTTTTGTGGGGCATTAATCCTCATTACTGTCATTTATGACTTAAGGGCGTAGGTCCCCTGGTTGATAAGCATAGTAGCATACATATGCTTTAGCAGTCACGCACAACAAACACTGGCAAATTGTTATTTGATAGAATCTGAGAATGTATACTATTATCTAGATCTATGAGGAATAAATCATAGTCAAAATAATTCCATAAATTTGGGTAAAAAAAAAATTCCAACTATATGAGCGACAGCGTACATATGTTCATGTATATTCTAAAAAACATTTTGAATTCTTTCATGGGAGGGAAGTCAAATTGATCCAAAATTCATTTTCAATATATAACGGATAGATGTAATGATTTTTTTCGACCATACATTTCATTTCATTTCCTTGAAATACAATTATATACAATATGATAACATGTTGTGGTCCCTGATAGGATCCTGTGATCTCAGGGTTTAATCCTAGAGAAGGACCCGTGGCAGGGGGTACAGAAATCACTATCAGTGGCATGTACTTGGACACTGGAAGGGACATTACTGCAAGATTCAGAGATGCAGATTGCATAGAGATGTAAGTAATGTGTTTTGCATTCAATGCATGATGTAATGATGTTGTAAAGTCCACCATAATTATTTATTGTTTTATCTTCAATTGTTATTAAAAGTAATTAAGCGCAATGGAATATTTAGAAGAATTTGTATGGCTAAAGGGCTTTTAGAAATGTTTCAGTATACACATTTCTTCATTGATGCCATTTTTGAATATTTTGTAATTAAATATGTGAACTCCATCATATCCATTCATGAAAGGCTCCATAAATTCAACCAAATATCAAGCAAAGATTAGAATAGAAGTACATTCAATATATAAGTGGGCATTATTTTCTATTTTGAAGTTCTGTTCAAGACGAAATCGCAACCTGCATCACAAGCAGCATAACGGAGAACGAACAGGTTTCCGTAACCCTGGCCATGACATTTGATGGAGAAGAAAGACAATTCAGCGGGTACGACTTTACCTACATGCCAAATCCAAGGATTGAATATATTGATAGGACAACATCTATCATGTCGTAAGTAACTTGGAATATAATTTTTTATTTTTGTTTTCATCCTTAATTGTCATTCATTTACTTGTTTATAAAGAATCACGGTGATAAATCACCATTTTATCTGGGGGAATTACTTTATCATAGAATTATGACTCAGATAGAAACAGATTCTTGTTAGTTTCTGAAAAATTGGACGTTCTGGTATTTTTGAAAGTAGAGATTACAAGTGGTATTGAAAATTACTAATTGGCAATGTAGTAATGTGTAATGTTATGCATAGAGAACTCTACCTTTGTTAAGAAATCATTAAAACTATCCCTGTTCATTTTATTAATAGAATATATTTTTTGATTCAAGAAGCAGCATGGTTAACATAATTTCACATGACCACCAAAAGCATTGAGAAGAGGGATTATATTCACTACTTTGCACTATGTATAAAACAACTGGATGGGTTCTCCATGGTATGACAAAATACATCATTATTGCTTCACTATTACAAGATTTTTCATATAATGAGTGAGTTCAACCTTGAAAAAAAAAATCTAACCCTCTTTTTCTTTGTTCTATTTCTCTGAAGCTTTTATTGAACTGTTTCTTTAATTGTGTATGCCTTGGCCCAAGCAAACATCTTAACATGTAAATGATAAAGTGTATCAATATTTTTCATAGATACTACATACTATAAGAATATATAGATTGACGATTTGTTAATTTTTTCTTCTTTTTACAATTGACCAAATGTTATCCAGATAATTATTACGTAACAATTACGATCCTCGCAATCGATATCACGTGACGCGCTCTGAACCAATCACATCTCTAAGCTATCTAATATTATAAAGTATTCCCTGTCTGTAATTTTCACATACGACTGTTTTCTTATTATATAGGTGTTATTTGAAGCTTACCTTGAATTCATTTTTATTTCAACAGAGGAGGTCTCGATATCACACTAACTGGCGTTAGATTTGATTTGATCCAAGAACCCAGGATTGTTGTTACATCTCTCACAACTGATGCTAGCAACACTGAGGTATGATATGCATTCTCTATATTTCATTCAAGTCCCATTACCAGTAAAAGGTATCGGATTATCAAAAAGTATTTTGCTCTGTATGTAAGGTTATAGTAAATTAAAAATACGAGCTTCATTTATTACTTCTACAAAGAGATGTGGCAATTTTAAGTACACCCATTAAACATAGATGCAACTTATGAGAAGATAATTGATTTTCCTGTACATGTTCTAATAGTACATGTGCATTGTAGAAGGCATACTAATCCTTGTGTAGGGTATTATGTTATCCTTTATTTCTTTCATACTCCTTAATTGTTTAATAGCCTGTAGAATGCTGGGTTAAGCATTTTTGTTGTTGTTGTTGATATTATAAATTTTTAACTATACCCATATATGTTTAGGAGATTGGTAACCATAGATATGTCTATTGACTGTAAAAGATTGGATAACTACCTGTATGCTCTTTCTCATGCATACACTTGTACATTGTATTTAGTAACCTTTAGATCAATTTATTTGACACAGTACTGCTTAGCATACTTTGTATTTGCTTGTCAGTTTTATATACAAATAAATGAGTTGTTCTGCCATGCAAAAAGAATCTTCATTTGCACATGTAATTGTTAATCTACAGGTTT